AGGGCCAGCATGGAGTCATAGACCTTGCACTGCATCTGCCCCGTGCTCTGCACCACGCAGTTCATCCACAGCCCTTCCCAGATGATCTGGGCTACCACAATGTTGTTGCCGATGAAGGCCGTCTCCCGCCACATGGGCAGCGCGCAGCAGAGGATGGAGGCCAACCAGCCGATGACAGAGAGGGCAATGCCCAACACCTGCAGCCCCATGGAGGCCATCGCTCACTGCCTGCACCCCTGCCTGCCTCCCACAGCGCAGTGCTGACTGTGGGACCATGGCAGGTACTATAAAAAAAGGAGCCCTTGTGGTCCGCCCGTCCTGCCGCCGGCACCGGACAGAGGGGTAAAACCAGTTTCCCGGGATTCCTCCACTTGCATTTCTCCCTGCAGCAATGACACATAATATCCCGGCTGCTCGCACGGAGGAGGACGCCAGGGACTGGGATCAGGCCACCCAGGCAGGGGAGCATGTCCCACTGCTGCCCGCGGGTGGGCAGGAGATGCTAAGGGCAGCCACCGGGGCTCAGCCTGGGATGCTGAAGGGGAAGAGCTGGTGTCCAGGCACCGGGATGTCTCTGCCATCGCTGCCAGCCCCTCCTGCCCCATCAACATGTGCTCTGCTTTTGTGCCTCAGTTTCCCCCCAGCTCATGGGGCAGCTGCTCCAGCAGCAATCCCATCTCCGGCCCCCTGTGGCCTCGTGCCAGGGAGCAGCACACTGTCCCAGCCCCACTGCCAGGCTCTGTGCCCAGGCAGGACACAAGCAGCTCTTGTTTGTTGCTTGGCGTCTGCACCAGCACTTCCCAGCCTTCCATCAGGCCTCGGGCAGGAGGTGTCACCGCCCAGACCCACAAACCGGTTGGAGCAGCTGCTGTCTTCCCAAAGAGGAGAGACAGCGCTGCCCGGGGTGGCGGGGCAGACCCCAAAACCCCCCCCCCCTTGTGCTGTGCCGCGAGCCAGCGTTCACACACCCACAGTGCCAGGGGTGCAGCACCCCACTGCCTCACTGCCTGTGCTGCCAGCCAGGCCTGAGGGTCAGGGCAGCAGGGGGCAGAGGTGGCCTCGAAGTAGAATGGTTTGGGTTAGAAGAGACCTCAAAGCTCCTCCAGTTCCAACCCCCTGCCACGGGCAGGGACACCTTCCGCTGTGCCGCGAGCCAGCGTTCACACACCCACAGTGCCAGGGGTGCAGCACCCCACTGCCTCACTGCCTGTGCTGCCAGCCAGGCCTGAGGGTCAGGGCAGCAGGGGGCAGAGGTGGCCTCGAAGTAGAATGGTTTGGGTTAGAAGAGACCTCAAAGCTCCTCCAGTTCCAACCCCCTGCCACGGGCAGGGACACCTTCCATTAGAGCAGGTTGCTCCAAGCCCCTGTGTCCAACCCGGCCTTGAACACTGCCAGGGATGGGGCACCCTGTTGTGCTGGCAGCATTTGGGTACAAGCAGCTGCATCCACTGGCCAGGCTGTGCCAATGCCAATACTGATGCCAATATTTTGGCACTAACTGACCTCTCCTCCTTTACACCACCCCACTACACATCCCCTCCCTGCTCTCTCTGAAGCCCCTCCAGCATACACAAAAACACAGAATGAGGCTAGACACACTGCAAAGAGGGACATTGCACTGTTTCACCAGCCCAGTTTAACCCCGGACCTCTGGAAAAGATAAGAGGGACTGAGATTATCTTGGTTTTCCTGAGCACTGGCGTTACTGATAGCATCCACTTGCTGTGCTGTTTGGAGCTGCTGCTGCCCGCACTGGGATGTCCCTGGGATGAGCTGGGCAGTCTGTGCACATGAGGATGCCAGTGCCTGGTGCATTGGGAGCAGGCATGGCAGAGTGCTGGTACTTGGGGACACTTGGGTCTCGCTGCAGACCCTGACCCATGGGGACGAGGCAGGGTCCCGCCTGACCTGTGCTGGAGCAGCCACCCAGGTACCAGGCCACACTGGGATGCTCTGTCCGTCCATCTGTCCTTCTGGAGCACCCGCATTGCTCGCATTCCAGCATGCCCAACCCAGGGCCGGAGCCCCGTGGTAAAGGGCTCCCTTTAATCTGCAGGCTCTGAAGCACCCCTCCTGGGGCCCAAGGCTGAGCACGGCTTTCACGTCCCAGTGCCCGCCATAACCACCACGTTATTTGGGGCTGGAGAGGCACGCGCCCTTGTGATGGGTGGGTGTGTGCAGTGTGCATGGGCCACATCCCCGCAGGCACATGGGGACATGCCTCTGGGCTGGGGACAAATGGCAAGGTGGTGACAGGGACTTGCCCACGTGTGGAGCATCAAAGGTCTGAGCTGCTCCCCCTCAGAGCCAGGGCAGGCGCCAGCAGGGCCCTCCAACATCCCATTATTGTAATTAAAGCCAGAACGTGACATATATTCAAACTGGTGTCTGCCACCCAGAAACAGTCCCCATTCCCTTCCCCACGTCCCCCGGTGACGCACGCACCAGCCAGCACAGCCAGCCCCGCGTCACCAGCAGGACAGACGGATGCAGGCCTGGTGGGGAACAGAGGCAACAGCCAACCCTTGGGGCAGCATCTCATGCCCAGCGCCAGCACCTCATTCCCAGCACCCACCGAACCAGAGGATGCAGCACTGGTGGGACCGGGCACCACAGAGCCATTGGGGCCATCACCGCATGGGCACCAGCCCCACAACCCCATCCCAGCTGCCTGTGCATTGTGCAGGATGTTCACCCCAGCTTTGTCTAGCAGCACCTGCAAGGAGACATGGCACAGCCACGTGTCCTGATGGACTACAGCCCCCTGCTCAGCAGGGATCTCCTGCACCCCAGAATGGAGTGCTTATCCCATACTGAGCCTTTGCCACACAGTGCCTACCCCAGCACCCATCTGGATGCCTGCCCTGCCCCAAATCCAGCAGTATTTGTAGGGTCAGGGGTCCAAGCTCTCATCCCTGCCTCACCACATACTAATGGGGTTGGTGACAACAGAGCTCCTGTCATGGCACATTGGCCACCAGCCCTTTGTGGCTCAAGAAATGCCCTTCACTAATGGTCTCTGCTTCATCAGGATGGGGACATGCTGCAGCCCCATGGCTGGGCAGAGAGGCCATCCCCAGGCAGGGAGATGGCATTAAACCTAGTGTCATCGGGCGCGCAGCATAGGCTGCACCACCCTGATGTTGCTCAGGGCAGAGGATGTCCCACAGGGAGAGGGCTCGGGGGCACAAATCCTCTGCCAATAGGCTTGGGGACATCCCCACCCAGGACACCGGGGCATTCCCACCTCACCCATACACAGCCCTGGCTCAGCCCCATGCTTTGCCAAGAGCCACTCACTCTCCAGCACCCACACATGGACTCGCTCCCCTGGCTACCTTGAGGTCCTGAAAAGGCGGGTGACGCTCCCCAGCAGCAGTGATCCACCAGGATCTCCGGCTTCACATCGGCCAAGTGAGGCATGGCCACCAGCCCTCCCCCTCCGCCAGTGGCCGGAGATTAGTTACCTGCAGCCCAGAGACTCAGTGTTCCCAAAAATTAGTCCTTGCTCAACATAGCCCCCCCGACCAGCTCAAATCTGTGGAGTCAGGTTGTTTGCCGCTATGGGAAAGCAAAGTCTTATCAGCTGGGCAGGAGAGGAGCTGTGCAGCAGGAGCTGCGGGGTCCCTGGGAGGACACTGCTGCAAGAGACGGGACCTTCAACCTGAAATCACTTTGAAAATCAGAGCCCAGCCCAATTTGCTGAGCAATAAGTGGCTCTGAATGGGGAAAATACACCCAAGTGCTGCCACGGTGGTTGTCAAAGAGATGGGGGAGACGAGGGCCACGGCTCAGGAGAGGGGATGTGAGCGGTGCCATGGGGGTTCCCCTGCAGGTGATGCTCAGAGGAAGCAGGATGCTGTGGCAATGATCCGAAGCCGTCCGGGATGGGGATGACCCCGGCACGCTGAGGTTCCAGGTGACCCAGCATCCCATGGGCTAGCGGACACCCCCCTGCCACGTCCCGCCGGACCACAGCCCCCCCAACCCTCAGCTCCATCCCCACCCCACTGGCAGACAGAGCCACCATTGATGGTCGGAGCTGCCTTACCTGCTCCTCGCCGCCGCCAAAGGGGCTTCCACCATGGGGCGCCTGTGT